ACTTAATAAGCCCAGGATGTAATTACCCATTCATTCACCAAGTACGGGTGTATCTCGTCTGTAACTCCTAAATATTTCTTGAGTTTGCCCCCTTCTCCATCCCTAGCACCACTGCCCCAGGTCAGGCCTTTCCTTTGTGGTCCACATCAGAGCATCCCATAGGTCATCAATCTATGTCTCTCCAACCCATACATGCCACAATTGGAGTGTTCCCTCTAGAATGGAAATCTAATCTTCATACCCTCTTATCCTCAGAATGATGTCCAAATTCAGCAAGACAGCTTACAAAAGGGTTTTATGATGTTCTCACCTTCCTTTCTTTTTCCACATCTATAACAGAGTTCCCTGAGGTCCCCCTATCACAGTGATGGCGAACCTTTTGAGCTCGGCGTGTCAGCATTTTGAAAAACCCTAACTTAACTCTGGTGCCGTGTCACATATAGAAATTTTTTGATATTTGCAACCATAGTAAAACAAAGATTTATATTTTTGATATTTATTTTATATATTTAAATGCCATTTAACAAAGAAAAATCAACCAAAAAAATGAGTTCGCGTGTCACCTCTGACATGCGTGTCATAGGTTCGCCATCACTGCCCTATCACCTGGCTGTGCGCTGCACTCCTCTGGGTATTTGGTCAACATGCAACCACTGAGCCACGCTGGTGGGGCAACAGCTTTAATAGGTATCTCTCCACCCCATTTATGCTCCAACTGCCAAAGGGTTCTCAAAATTCCCTGTCTTCACATGCCCCTCCTTTCCAGTAAACTTCTTTTCACTCTTTAAGACCCAATTCAGCCCTGGCCAGGTAGCTCAGTTGGTTCGAGCATCGTCCCAATATGCCATATTGTGGGTTCGATCCCCAGTCAGGGCACATACAAGAACCAACCAATGAATGCATAAGTAAGTGAAACAACAATCCCATGTTTCATTCTCTCTCCCCCTCCCTTCCTCTCTCTCTCTAAAATCAATTTTAAAAAAAAAGACCCAATTCAAATGTCACCTCTCCAATTCTTCGTAGCCTTATCCACACCCTAGCAAGGTCCTTAGTCCAATTTTTAATTACTTATTTATACATTTGTCTCTCCCATTGGACTGTAATCCTTGAAGGCAAGGATTATGTTTCATTTATCCTTTCTATCCTCAGCGCCTAGCACAGTAACCAGCACATGGTAGAGGCTCAGTAAATATTTGTTGCACGTGTAGGAAATCCCTTATTAGATTGTAAGTAATTTGAAGACAGGGATAACTTTACACTACCTAAAAGATAGTGTGGGCTATTACTGTCTTAAATCCTTCTTGGAATAAGTTGGGGTATAAATAAGTTAGGATATGCTTTCCATGGAAGACAGTTGCTTTTAATGAATAGGAGTCAATGCCTTCAAATGTATTCAAGCACCCATTTCCCCTGACTTTGCCCAAGCTTTTCATAAACCCCAGCACCAAACCTCCTTGCTTCCTTCCCCTTACTCGGCAACATCAAAATACTTTTTTTCTTCTTTTTGAGAGAGGAAAGGAGAGGGAGACAAAAATATTGATGTGAGAGACACATCAATTGGTTGCCTCCCGCATGACCCCCAACCAAGAGCCCGAAACCTGAGCATGTACCTTGACCAGAAATCGAACCTGACTCTTCGTGCATGGGACGACATTCCAACCAACTGAGCCACACTGGCCAGGGCCAAACATCTTTTAACAGCAAAGACAGTAGCTTTACCTTGCAGCCAATTCTCAGAGCCCTCAGTACCTCAATATTTTTTATATTTATTTTATATATTTAAATGCCATTTAAATATATGTTTGACTTAAGACTTATGAGAAAATATTCTACCCTTAAATATATCTGTTCCACAAGAGGATTCTTACCCATCCTCCTCCTACCCAAAGTGGAAATTTCATTCCCTCAAAACTGGCCAGTGTGACTTGGTTGGAGCGTCATCCCGTGCACCAAAAGGCCACAGGTTCAACTCCTGGTCAGGATACATAACCAGGTTATGAGTTCAATCCCTCCCCCAAGTCGGGGTGCATATGGGAGGCAACCGACTGATGCTTCTTTCTTTCTTTTTAACTTATTTTAGAGAGGGAGAGAGACATCAATGTGAGAAACATCTATCGCTGACTTTCTCTTCTCTCTCCCTCCTTTCCTCTCTCCCCCCCTCCTCTCTTTCTCAAATCAATAAAAGCATATCCTCAGGTGATTAAACAACAGGAGCACTATATAAACAGCAAGCAATGACCCCTGTAAGTATTGTGAACAGCCTTTCATGCTTTTTAAAAAATGAAAATGTTCCGGGGTTTTTTCCCCCCATAAATGGGGCCTTATTCTGCATATTGTTCAATAACGCTTTCATTTATCCAGATTCCTAAACTTATTGGTCCAATGCCTTAGTGTCTCAGTAATTTTCACAACACTCCCTAGACAAAAACAAACAAAAAAACACACAAAAACACCACTTACTAATTACTTAGATCCAAACAGCTTAAGTATTTATGTCCTACCAACTTAACACCATTTGAAAAAATACACTAAATTTGAGAAAAACGTTTTTAATATATTAAAGCATCCCCCCCCCCAAATAACCACAATTATTTACTTATGATACCTGCTGGGCACTGCACTTCTCAAATCTTAGAATCAGATGGACAGGACCACCCTATTTCTTGCTCTACAATGATCTTGCCCAGAATTTAGCAACTGCTAAAAACCAAGCTTCACAAAGACATGATGTCATCTGAAAGGGTTTGGTGCCACCTAATGTTGAAAAGGAACTACCTGGCACTAGTAGTTCCCAGATGTGCTTGTGTTTCTAGAAAATGTAAAATCTCTCATGGGCACCTGTGAGTTTGCTGCAGAGCCTCAGCAGTTTGGGATTTAATTTATTGGGAAGGTCTTGTTCTACTGTAAAAATAGAACCTGAGTTATTCAACAGGATTCCTATTAGTAAATTAATACTTAGGAAATTTATAATTTCAAACAATGTTGCAATAAAATACTTCTACATGTATCTTTGTGTACTTGTCCAATTATTTCATTCACTCATTTGACAAACTTTTTAATTACATGCCTTATGTGCCAGGCACTATTTGAGATGCTGAAAAAGAGAGTGAAAACAGTCTCTTATAAAATTTACATTCTATTGAGGGAGCAAAAAACCACACACAGAAAAACGAATCCTCTCAGGTAGTGACAGGTTATGAAGTAAAATAAATCAAGACTAGAGGTTATAGGGCCATGCGACTCTGGTTGAGCGTCAAACCCAGGAGGTCACGGTTTGATTCCTGATCAGGGCACGTGCCTGGGTTATGGGCTGGATCCCCAATAGAGTGTGCAGGAGGCAGCCGATCAATTATTCTCTCTCATCATTGTTTCTATTTCTCCCACCCTCTCTGAAATCAGTAAAAAATATATATATTTTTTTAAAAAGACTAAGGGTTGGTTATAGAATGCAGAAGGATGTCATTTAAATAGGGTGGTGAGGAAAGAGCTCCCTTGACATGACATCTGAGCAGAGAAACATCGATCAGCTGCCTCCTGCACACACACACCCCAGTGGGGATGTGCCCACAACCAAGGTACATGCCCTTGACTGGAATTGAACCTGGGACCCTTCAGTCCGTAGGCCGATGCTCTATCCACTGAGCCAAACCAGTTAGGGCCAAACACCCAACCTTTGATGAAATATCTGGAATTGTGTTTGCTAACTGCCAATATTAGTTTCTTGGTGATGGAACTTGCAATGGGCCCCTAAAATTCGTCTGACATCGTTTCATGTCGGGATCTCTGCGGTGCGGTGCCAGTCACCCTTCTCACCCTCCAGCCTCAGCTGCGGCCAGGCTAACACCCTAACAAAACTGAACTCGGAGAAGCCTCTAGGCTGGACCCCACGTTGCCTAGGGCCCTAGGCGTTGCGCACCCATAGGCCTGTCGCCTAGGGCTGCGAGCAGCGCCACACCCCGCCCGCAGCGAGGAGGGAGGAAGAGTCGAGGGCAGATCCGCTTACCAGTTCATCCGGGCTGAGAACTCCGAACTGCACTCTCTTGATGGTGCGCAGCGGGCATGCGCTGTCCCCGGAGGGGGGGCCACCCCCGTGCATCGCGGAGGCAGGCGCGCTGCGCAGGCGCAAACCTCACTACAAAAAGCCTGCGCCGCCTCCGCCTAAGAGCTCAGACCCCGTCGGGGCGGCCGCCGGGAAGGATCTTCCCTAAGTAGGGAAGAGAAGGCCGGAGGAGGGAAAGGTTGGGGGAGGGAAGGAGGCGGGGAAATGAAAAGGAGCGAAAGGAGTTTTCCTCCCTGTTTCCGGAGGTTTTTCGTTTCTCAAAAAGGAAAAAAAAGGAGGAGGGGGAAGGAAAAGGGTTCAGAGGGGGGAGAAGAAAGAGGGTAACAAATAAATAGTTAACCGGGCTCCCGAACGGCAGAGGTTACGGCAGTTTGTCTCTCCCCCTTCCGGGAGCCGCCTTCTTCTCCAACCGTCCCGGCCGCGCTCTCGGCGCTTCTGAGAAGAGAACTGAGCGAATGACGCCTTTTATAGAGCCGTCCCTGCATCTCCGCCCCTTCCTTTCCCGCCCTCCCTTGCGCTCCAGGGCGGTCTGCGCCGGCCCGCACGGGGGCGCGCGCTCCAGTCGTTGCTCCTCCCTTCCCGGCTCCGGGGTTGAGCGACCTTTGAAATGACAGGGGGGAAGGGAAATTGAATCTCTCCACCTCCCTAAACTGCTCGCTCCCGCGCTGAGGTTTGAGGTTTGAAGGATCGAGGGTGAATATAGGCTGTTTAGAGTCTAGTTTGGAGTGTGTTTCATCTTCAGCCCAAGTTTGTCATTAATATCCCCCCCCGCCCGCTGGAAAATAGTCTGTTCCGTGACTCGGTAATGAAGAAGGCGGGGCCGGCGGGGCTCCCGGATGGGGTAGTGCTGGGGCCGCCCTTGGTCATGAATATGCAGTAGTCGCGCTGAATATGTATGAGTCAATCAAGACGGCCAGGCCGAGTGTTTGTCCGGAAGTAGCTATTTGCCGAGAGGCCTCCTGGGACGGGTGGGCATCTTCTGGCCGCGAACGGCGGAGCCCTGTATGCGGCCCGAGTGCGGGATCCCCGGCCGGAGCCGCTCGGAGACCTCGGCTCCGGCCTGTCCGGAAGGCGGCTGGCCGCTGCCTGGGAGGGAGATCACGGACCGAGACGATCCAGGAAAAGCAGATTAGCCGCGGGGCGGGACGCAAGCCCCGGGGGGTCAGGGCCTAAGCATCCGAACGTTAGGGAATCCTCTCCCTTCTAGAATATTTCAGAAAAAAGGTGGGGGAGGGGGGCTCCCACTATCCTTCCACAGCGGAGATGACACAAACTGTGCAGCCACTTTCAGGGTGATCCTTGTTTGATGTCAATGTCACGTCACCACCCCAAATTGGCCGGGGAGGGGGGACGGGTTGGGGTGGAGGGAGGGAGGGGGCACAGCCACTGGGAAGGGCAATCTCACGCAAGGAAAACAGGCAGACGCCCTTCCCCCAGCGCAGCTGATTGCTCTGCTGGCCTCCGAACGCCCCAGCCATGGCCTTCTCCCTGTGCTGGGGTGCCGATCTCCCCGTGACTCATGGCCTGCCTGCCTCAGCTCCTTGGATCTGCTCCTCGGACAGTATTTATTACTCTTCTCCGGTCCTCTCGCCCCAGCCTGGATTCCACATCTCTTGGTCCCCAGGCTTGTGCCAGGTCTTCCAGGCAGTCCCTTTCCACCAGGTCCCGGTTCCCCTGGACCCCAAGGTCTGTCCCTGTCCCACACCAGTGGCCCTTGCCTTTCCCCCCACCCCCAGCTCTCAAGTCAGTCTCACTCCTCCACCTGCCCTGCCCTCTCACAGCTGAGGTTCTGGGCCTTGGTGATGGCCAGCACAACCACTGCCCCAGTGATGTCAGAGGTGCCACCATCTCTCTCGCACTGGCCAGTGTGGCTCAGTCGGTTGGAGCATCTCCTGTACATTAGAAGGTGGCATGTTCAATTCTCAGTCAAGGCACAAACTCAGGTTGTGGGCTCAATCCCAGTCAGGGGTGCGGGGGAGGGTGTGGAAGGCAGCCAATCAATGTTGATGTTTCTCCCTCACATCCATGTCTCTCTCTCCCTCTCCCCCCTTCCTCTCTCTCTCTAAAAAAAAAAAAGTCGTGGCTGGTGTTGCTTGGTGATTAGAGCATCAGCCCACACACTGAAGGGTCTTGGGTTTGATGCCAGTCAAGGGTACCTGAGTTGTGGGTTCGCTCTCCCCTATTAGTTGATATGGCTTTTTCACATTGATGTTTCTCTCTCTCTCCCCCACCCCTTTCTCTCTTCCACTCTCTCTGAAAAAGCAATGGAAAAAATATCCTTGTCCTACCCAGTTTGGCTCAGTGAATAGAGCATCAGCCTGCGGACAGAAGGGTCCCGGGTTCGATTCTGGTCAAGGGCACATGCCCAGATTATGGACTTGATCCCCAGTAGGGGGTGTGCAAGAGGCAGCTGATTAATGATTCTCTGTCATCATTGATGTTTCCATCTCTCTCTCCCTCTCCCTTCCTCTCTGAAATCAATAAAAATATATTTTAAAAAATATATACTCTGGGGAGAAACCAAGATGGCGGCATAGGTAAACACCGGAAATTGCTGCCTCCCACAACCACTTCAAAAATACAACTAAAAGACAAAACGGACATCATCCAGAACCACAGCAAAGCTGGCTGAGTGGAAATTCTACAACTAGACGGAAAGAGAAAAGCACACAGACTCAGAGGAGGCATGGAAGTAAAGTGCAGAGGTACGAAGGCGCATGTAGAAAGGGCTGGCAACTGAGGACACGGTTGTCTTTTTCAATCGGGAGGGAGTCTCAAGCTCCCGACTGCTCTGAACTCCAGTTCCAGGCGAGTCTCTGGGGACCCAGACTCATACGGGGAGAAACTGGACTGTCTGGCATCGGTCGGAACTCAAGGGCGGCTTTCTCTCAGAGGTGCTTGCAGCGATTACCGGGACACTGAGACCTGGGGCCTCTTAGGGCAGGACTGAGGAGCAGCCATAGCTGCTTGCTCCACCCTGTTGATCCCCTGAGACCCCACCCCACCCAAGCTGTGCACAGAGGCTTTTGCATATGAAAGGCCTGGCCCTTTGCAATCAGAAAATTACCTAACAAACTGCAGCTGGGTCAGAGGGACCCAGAACTTCCAAAAGAAGATCCAAGGCACCACAGCAGCTTGCATTGCTTCACAGCTGGGCCTCATCTGGGCACCTCCAAACCCCAAACAAGGAAGAGGAATCTGCAGATTTCTCCATAGCTCCTGCTGGGTAGCCTCAGGCAGAGGCTAAATTAGCACCTCCTTAGAGATCCAGGAGACA